ATGAGTTTCCATTTTTCCAAAAGTCAAATATGGCGACAATTTTGATATCATTATTAAACCAATCAATTAAATCAAAATTTTCAAAACTAAAAACATTTCATATATTAAATATATCGATTACACGTTAAAATCCTAACAATCATCCATTACATGATCATCATCCAATCATATAATAAAAATTAATTTGTTAAAATAAATAAATAAATAAATAAATATCTAAAAGATTTATTAATTTTACATAATTTTGTCTTTGGCGGGTAGAAATAATTTTTAAAAATTCAAAAAAAATTTTTTTGACATTTATGTTTGTCAAATTAGTTTATATTTTATCAAATTGATGATTTTACCCTTGAAATTAAGTAATGGTATATTCAATTGTCCTTATTTAGAACAAGATTCAAAATTTAGAATTAAATGTGTCACAATTGAAAAGTGAAGGACCAAAGTGACACGAGCCCCAAACTATAGGGACCGTTAGTGCAATTCGCTAATTTATTTTCTTGACTTTTAGACAATAAATGCTAGCCATGGATGATTTTGTGTGACCAAGGGGAGCGATTTGCAGGTTTCCTTCCAAGTTGCAGATGCTCTAAATCAACCATTTCCTGGTGCACAATTTGATCTGGTATGGTCCATGGAGAGTGGAGAACACATGCCTGACAAAGCAAAGGTTCTTTATCTCTCACTCTTACTCCTCTGTTACTATGATCGATACCTCAAATCCAAGTCATCAAACCTAAGTTCTTGATTTTTGTACTGCTTTTATGGGTATTTGATTTTGTTGTCTCACATTATACTCTCTCATACTGATAGTTCGTTAATGAGTTGGCTCGAGTAGCAGCACCTGGAGGTACGATTATAATAGTAACTTGGTGCCATAGGGACCTCTCCCCTTCTGAGGAATCTTTGCGGCCAGATGAGACGGCTCTATTGAAGAAGATTTGTGATGCTTATTATCTTCCGGCCTGGTGTTCTACTTCTGATTATGTAAAATTACTTCAATCCCTCTCTCTTGAGGTATTAACTTCTTCAGTTGACCAATATTTTATATATATATATATATATATATTTATCAGCAACAAAAGAAATTTATTAAGCCTCCGTTTGGGAAGTGGGTTGGCTTTTTGGCTTTTTGGCTTTTTTAGCTATTTTAGCCTGGGCTAAAAAGCTTGGTTTGGGAAGGGCTTTTTGGCTTTTTGGCTTTTTGGCTTTTTTTTGTGAGAGAAGAGTGTAATGATTATAGGTTGGATGTAATGTTTTGTTTGTTGTGGCTAAAATAGCCTGTTTTGTCTTTTGTGGCTATTTTAGCCCCAACCCACTTGCCAAACACCACCTGAGCAAGTACATGAAGTCCACAAAAATTAAGATAAAAGAAAAACCATGAATCTCATGCTCATAACACTCCGATCTATATAAATTCAAACATGATACTTCTATACATGGTCTTATATATAACTGACTCTCTTATTTTCTGTGTTATCATGTCCTGTCATAATTGGATGTGTTGAAAAATAGTCAACCTAACTCCCTAATAGATTAATTTGAGTATCCAATCAATTTGATTTTTTGACTGCACGACTATTGCTTATATATATATATATATATGTATGTATGTATGCAAGACGACGAATTCGTGACGAACTTTCTCGTTGCAGGATATCAAGGCAGAGGATTGGTCCCAGTATGTTGCCCCATTTTGGCCGGCTGTGATAAGGTCAGCATTGACATGGAACGGCTTCATATCATTGCTGTGAAGTGGTAGGTTGTTTTATGGAATGCATTTGGTATCTTCTTGTTGCCACTTTTTTTGTGCCTTGTTTTACATTCCCGACTGGATAACTTGATCAGGATGGAAAACCATAAAAGGGGCGTTGGTGATGCCATTGATGATCCAAGGATATAGGAAGGGTTTAATCAAGTTCGCTATCATCACATGTCGAAAACCTGAATAATTACGAAAGAGATAAAGAAAGATGTGCGACAACGAAGAGGCAAGGAGACCAATCATGGATGTTTTGGCTACCGTTACTCGGGTGGTATGTAATAATTGTAGTCCTATCACTTATTTCTATACTCATCTCTTTGGAACCTCGTAGAGGCCCACCAGATTCTGGTAGACATAAGGTCCGGTTTTGTAGTGAATAAAATTAAGACTTGACCGATCAAAATGAAGCATAGGTGTATTTTTGTTCTTGTTGTGCTAGTAGTTATCTCTCTTCTTGCTGCTCGATTGATCCACTAAGAGATCAACATCTCTCATTTATAAGTTTTATTTGGTGGTTCCGGAGCACTATGTGATCGTGTCCTAAGCAATAGGGGATATGTTACTATTTTTTTAGAAAAAATAAGAACAAAATTAACATTTGAACATTTTAATTTTATAATTTTTTGCACAGCCATATACGCTATTTTCTTCTTTCTTAAGCCCATATATATTAAATTCACATATATATATATATATATATATTTGTAACCAAGCCCTAAGCTTTCATTGCAACACCTCCAAATCAACCTCTTTCTTAGGAATTATTGAAATAGCTTCGTTAAATATATTAATCAATCAATGCCATGGCAAATCATGTGAACAGGATGAATGCCTCACAATCAATTGAGAATGGTTGTATTAATTTCATTACCACAGCCTCCAGCTGAATACTAGGGCTCATTGCCATAAAAAGAAAGAGCCTTTAAATTAAGTTACGAATCATTAGACAAGTCACAACAATAAAGCTTTTGTTCCGAAGATGTAATTACCAAGACGACCCTCTCTTCCCTTTTGTTTTATCTTTAGCCTTTTATTTTAGCTTTGAAAAATTAAAATTAGAGCCGTGGTAACTTCGCATGTTCTTGCCGTGTCCCATGAAAAAAAAAAAAAAAAAAAATAGACGCGTCACATGGTATGTCTCGAATTCTTGTTCTAGCATGTCTCTGCCATCTCTGTATCCCAAACGTGTCTGACATGACTACGGTACCTATGTTGAAGTGTCGGTGCTTCATAGTCGACGACAAAGAAAATGAAAAGAACCGAAGAAAAAGCCAAAGAGAAATGGACTGAGTAGAAAAGAGGAATAGATGTAATAGAGAAACCCAACAAGAATGTGTGACCAAAGGAGAATCAGTCGCCATTTCCTTTCTACAAAAAGTAAATTCAGATATATTAGTCTTTTATTGTCCTATTTATAGTAAGGGGAGAATTCTTCCCAATCCACTGTGTGAGTTGGAGGCTTTGTGGGGGTGTAGATATACCATAAAATTATTTAATTTGTTTATTTGTTATTTGTAAATTATTCATAAACAGAATTATATTAATTTAGTAATTATAATTATGTGATTTTATATATAAAAAAAATTGTGGATTATTTTTAAAATTATACTTATCGTCTATTTTTTTAAGATAAATATATATGATGAAATAATGTAGTTATAATTATCTTATCAATCTAATTTTTCTCATAACTAATTTATACATAGGACAATTCAAATTATCATAATAAAACTATATAACTAATTTAGTCTCTGCCACTGTGTTATCTTTTTATGTTTTAGTGTAAGCAACAATGTTATGAAGATGTAGAGGGTCAATGACCATGTTGGCTATGCATTAAAGTGGAACATGAATAATATGATGGCTGAAATTTAGTTTTCAAATTAAATTTTATTTTTTGAATCTTTTATTTTTGTCTTTAATAAATTTTTTTCATGTTTTAAATTTTTTATTACACACACTTCATCCTTATAAAAATGAAAACAAAAGCAACAATTGTCACATTTTTTTTTCAAATACTCCCCCACAAAAATGCATAGTCAGTCTATACATGCGTAATAAAATCTTCAATAGATTTCATTGTGTACTCACCTTAAACTGGGGGTATGACTCATGAGAGCAGAGGCATTATTCATTCTTCATAGCAGCCGGTTTTAATTAAACGATATTCAAAATATTTTTACAAACATAGTGTACATGAATTTACAGACATAGTTTACATGAATTTACAGAGAATTACCGAACTTCGCATCACAATCAAAAATCGTCAAAACCACAAACAATTAACTAAATTTTCAGCAATTAAAGCAACAATAGGATGAACAAACTATTTCAATGCAAATAACCATAGAGAATTCACAACAATTGGGATTCTTTGTGCTATATAGTATAAATCTGTTGATCAACATTTGATATGTTAAAAAATAAAATCTAATGATTTTAGTTTCCACTTGAAATTTCAGATTTTGGCTTGAAAGGCTTGCGAAGAAAGCAGAAAGTTTTCAGGTGAGATTCTAATTGCGAACATATTGAGTTTGCTTTGAAATCCTTGACTTGGATTCATTTCTGTTTATCATCATTTCTGATCAACATTTGATATGTTATAAAATAAAATCTGCACATATCAAATTTTATCAAACAAAATTTCTTTGTATCAATAAATTTTATTCATATCATCTTTGGGAATTGCACAGTGTGCTTGCCACCCCACAAAACCACCCTTGAGAAACTCAAAGATAGACTGTTTGAGATTTTCTTCCAAGATGATCCTCTTCACAGGTTCAAGAACCAAGCATGCTGTCAAAAATTGCTACTGGGTCTTCAATTTTTCTTCCTTGTTTTTCAATAGGGACCCAATTATAGTCTAAATCTTCTAAGGTCTGATGTCATCTCTGGTCTCACCATTGCAAGCCTTGCAATCCCACAGGTATATATGTATATACATAAGATACCAATTATGAAAACTTTAGTTAGGCCTGTTTCAATTAGATATATGTATATATGTATATATATAAGATACCAATTTGATTGGCAGCAATAGCACTAACTGGTGTGCATTTTAGTTTTAATTTCTTTTAAATTGCAGAGCACTGGCTGGTGTGTATTATTTGATATTTAATTTTTTTTATATTTGATTTTTTTGGAATTATAGAGTACAGTCTGTTAAATATATTTTTATAACTGCATTTTAATCTTAATATTATTTACACCGTGCCTTTAGGTACGGGCATACGCTAGATTATTATTTACACCGTGCCTTTAGGCACTGGCTAGTGACAAACAAATATGATTATAATAAATTAAAATTTTGATTGGATGGGTTAAAGTCAAATTTTTTTTTTCTTCTTCCCTTTACCACTGTGACTCAACTCAATATATTTTAGTTTCGTTGGGTGCAAATCATCCCTTATTTTGTACAAGAGCTGAACCTATTCTTTCCTTTATTTATTTGTTTTCTTTCTTTCTTGATTATCAGGTTATCCTTTATGTTTACTTAACTTTCATTAGCTGTTAATGGATGCAGTTATATTGAATTTATTGACAGTATATTCTGTGTCATTTAGCAGGTTCATGTATAGTCCAGTGTATAAATTGTTTTCTTCTTAGTTTCATGAAACCCCATATTTCACCTCATTTCATTTCATATATGTCTATCGGGTTATAATTTCTACTGGGTTTTGTTTGTTTTGATGTTTTTGTGAAGTTTAAGGTGTCATTCATGGGTATTTTGTTTCATGAAATTAACTGTTCTGTTTTCATATCCCTATTATATAAAAAATGGGTATAGGCTGATATGTTGCATTCACTTTCCTAAGATTTGAATCGGAGAAAGAAAGAGAAACTTGTGTTGTAGAGAATAAACAGAAGATATTTGTAGTTTCAATTATATTTTTAGCAATAAAATTTGATGTTATCTGCCACTTTAACAACAAATTTAGTACATCACTAAATTTGTCTTTCTTGGGTTAATAAAAATCCCGGTGGTATAATTCCAAAGGGAATGGTTACCTTATGCATATGATTTTTTGTTTCTTTTTTTTTCTATAATTTTTAAAAAAATAAAATAAAAATTCTATTAGTAGCCATGCATATGTAAAGGCTATTCGCGCTGCTCAGCATTTCATCTATATTGAAAATCAATATATCATAGGGTCTTCATACAATTGGAGCTCCCATAAAGACATAGGTAAGGAACTATTCCCTCACATGCAAAAATCATGATGTTTATATTTCTTTTTCTAAAAGCACAAATGATAGAATCTTCTATAGACCGAAAACTACCCAACCAAAACTTAAAAAAAATTTATCTGGCATTTTTGTTTATGTTATGCAATATTAGATATTATGGTGTGAAAAAATTGATGCAATTTAAGAGTACCTGGTGGACTTGAGCATGGTTAATGATTATCTCAAAACTAGATAGTTGAAGTCACTTTTGGCATGAAATTTGGTTTGCAGAAGTGGCTTACAGACTCCACTAAGTATATATACACTCCTATTTGACGATTTCATTGCATAATTGAATCTCAATCTCTCTTTCTCTCCGAAGAAATATGGAACAAGAAACTACAATGGAGGAGGCATTGCCCTCAGGTAAAATTCTAGTTTCATAGGCTTTCAATTTTGGTTTCCCCAATGTTTTGATTTCTAAATTTGGGTTCTGATTGACAGAGAAAAGCGATGTAGTAGAAGAAAAATAGAGCTTCGAGAGATGGAGTTCGTATCAGTACGTGGAAAGGGCTGGTTCTATAATTCCAACAGCTTCCTTGGCTGGAACTGAAGTCAGCGTCGACGAAATTCGATTTGCTACTGCTTTTTCTGATCGATATTACCCTCCTTCTCTTCACGCCCCTTTGATCAGCTCACCTGAACCAGATCCTAATGGTAATCCAATTCAATAATATCCCCAATTGATTCACTCACTCACAGACACACACACAAACAGTTGTAGTTCAGAATTTGTGAATTTTGTTGCTGCATACTAGGAAAGTTATGTTTCGTTGGATTCACGCATACATATGCATATGAACAATCACAGAAACAGTACAAATTAATGTTACATTGAAATCTCAGCAACCTAGCAAAGGGTTTTGTTTTAATAATTGGTTACTACAATACCCAGAAGAAAGTTTTGATATTTTTTGCTTTTAAATATTTTGGGTGGTGTTTTGTGGTTCATAATTTGTGAATTTTGTTGCTGCATTTTAGGAAAGGAAAGTTGTGTTGGTAGGATTCACTAAACAGTGAAACATGTTCAGTTTAAGTGTTGAATTTGGTGTTTCTACAAAATCACTGGTTGAGGAAGTTTTATGGTTCAAATTGGATTTTGATCTCATCCCTATGTTTAACATTGCCAGAGATATGATATTTACTGTTAGCTTTGGCCTCCCCGAATTTGCATTTTCTTAGCCTAGCAAAAGAAAAGAAAAGAAAAGAAAAAGCAAGGGGATTAGAAAGGAATTTTGCAACTCACATGTGAGTTAAATCTCTCAGTAATGTAGCATCACTTTGCTAAATTTTAATCCAAATCAAGAAAAAACTAAAGAAAACAAATTGGCAGTAATCTACAAATCTGACCTATTAGAGGTGTTTTAAATTATTTGTTTTCTTGAGCTACATTCACCAAGGATTAGTAAAACAATGGAGTCACGAATGAAGTGTTTAGGCATATAGACAATTACTTGAAGTGATTATGGGCACCGTATAGTCAATTAGGCTACTGGGTTTTATTTACATGGACTATTCGATTTGAATTAATTAGATTCACTGCTTAATTTAAAAAGGCCAGCTTTATATAGTTTCAATACATGTTTCTGTTTAGAACACATTATGATGTACTGAACGCTAATATGGCAACATAGCTTCATCAATTGCTTCCCTGCAAGTACTAGACTATAGCATATTATTTTGGATGCTAAACTATGAGCCAATTTTTGCAGAGCAAGCTCTCATTTATCAAGGTGGATATGGAGGAGATTATGGTGGAATGTCTAATGAATTTCAGAGGTGAGGTTCAATAATGACTTACAGAATATTGATTTTCTAAGGACCTATTCAATAATTAATTGGGGTGATAACTTCATATTTTTTTAATAATTGTGGGTTCAATTGCCCTTGCATTGGGGCTTTACTGTTTTAGCTAAGAATGAAAGAAAAAAGGCTGATTGGGATGCCATGGGAGGAGAATATGTTACTATGCTTCTTTTTTTTCAACACTATTTATTGAGTGTTAACATACATTATTGGGCTCATCTATTGACAATTTAAGCTTTTGGGATAACTGGTGTTCTATCTGTTAAGGAATGAGAGTATGGTCACATGTGAGTGGGAGTGTTAAGGATACATATAATGAAGTTACCCATACATCTTGATGAAGTTACTCCATTCTCTAACAGCATAAGCTTTCAATGTGATGGTAGTGAAACTTGCTTGGTTGTAGCAAACAAGGAGATTGGTTGAGGATTTTTTTTGTGTCTTTACTTACGGTAGACGGTTTAATAAGATTAGGTAGTTCTTTTGAGTTGCTACATCGTGTTTTAGTTGAGAGTCAAATGGCCTTTGATATGACAATAAACAAATGCTTTCCTAAGCTTTTATGCCTGAAATTCCTTTACTGAATACTTATTGTGAGCATATTTTCTTGCTGTAGATGCGAACAATTTGATTCCCATGGAAATTACACTTAAAATTGCTGAGAAAATCAGAGCACGTGAGAGGTTTGCTGCTTATATTGTTATTCCAATGTGGCCAGAAGGCAATCCAACAGGTGTTGCTACACAAAGGATTTTATTTTGGCAAGTAGGAACCAATTAAGACTTCAATGCATAGCATTGTGCTTCTGCATTTTAAATGCAGCTTCAGAGATGGATAACTTTGTTGCCTTTTTTTTCATTAGATTAATATGGGAAATCAAAAAATTCTATTAATCTGCCCATCAGTGTACATACTTCAGAAGGATCAATTTTTGATTTTGAAATTATCTCTCATTTATTGCACAAAACAAAATAATGCAAATGATGTATGAGACCATTTACAAGGCTTTAGTGGAGGTTGGGCTTCAGAATGAATACACCCCACAAGACTATTTGAATTTACGTTCATATTTGGAAAGCACTGGTGTGCATTTTGTTGTTTGTTGTTTGGTCTTAAATTACAGATGATTGGTTGGTGTGCATTGTTTGTTGTTTTGTTTTAATTAAATTATTTTAGAATTGCAGAGCACTGGCATGCATTGTTTGGCATCCAATTTTAATTTTGTAGAATTGTAGAATATTAGCTAGTGTGCATTGTTTGGTTAATTTTATTTTATTATAATTGCAGAACATTAGTTTACCATTTTAATTTTAATGAACATTATAAATTTTATATGTTTATTCCTTAATTTGCATTAAGACTAGAGAGAGTTGTTATTTTTAATTGAATTCTATAAAGGGTATGGTACAAGCAAAATTATTAAAAGTTCTTTAAGAAGAAAAAATGTTACAGCCTTCACATGTTTTAACATGATACGTATATAAGTTATAAATATATTTCGATCTCAATATTATTTACACCGTGCCTTTAGGCACGGGCATACACTAGTAAATAAATAAAATACTAAACCTTGTTTAAAAATTCTAATACAGTCACACACAAGCACACGCGCACACACAGAGAGGTGGGTTCTTTTTTTTTCCTTTCTATTAAAAAAAATAATAGTTAAGGGTTACTTTACACATTCCAGATCAATTATTCATTTTTTAGAAACACATTTTAGAAATAAGGAATATTAATAAGATTTTTTTTTTCTTCTTCTCTTTGTGGTTTTTGCTTTTTGGGTTGGAGGGGAGGGGGCATATGAAAATGACTATCATCAATATTATGTAGATTGCAAATATATATATACACATATCGTTTGATTAGTGGATTGCAAAATATGTGTACACATATAATGTGATGATAGTTAAACAATTGTCAAATTGTTTAAATTCAAAATTCTGTCAACACAGGTAAAATAATTAGCAATAGGATGACAATTTAACAATTGTCAAATTATTTGAATTCAACATGATATTCTATGCACTAAAGTAAACGTTGAGAAATGTATGTTATCATAAAATTAACTACTATCTAATTGAATCATAGCATTGCAATATTCAAATTATATTGGATATTGAGTACGGGCATGCGTCTATCAATTTTGACAAAAGACCAAGCACAAAAACAAGTTTAAAAACTAAACAAACACAAGAACTCCACATTTATCCAAGGGATTTCAGAATTTGATGGTATTAACACAACTTCATAGAGTAGGAAGAAATTTATTTAGAGGCAAGAGTCATAAAGCCTCCACAAAGCTCGTGATTTGGTCCAAAGCAGCCGAGGCATATCTGTGGGAGCTAGAAAAAAATATATATCAGTTTATTGGGATTAACCCAAACAAGGCCTACAATGGGTCTAACCCAAACAAAACATCACACCCCCTATCTATATTGGGGGGAGGGGAGGATCCCAGAAGAGAGGGTATGTCATTTCTCTCTACACTAGACACCAACACTCTTTATTTCTATATCTTCATTTTGTCAATCAAGTAATTAACTTCACCATCGGAGTTACTCCGGCCGGCAATCCCAGTTGGGTGACGCCGATCATGCTCATCTTTGCAGATCTACAGGGACAAAGTTCATCTCTTCGTTAGATCTCTACAATCCATGTAAGAGGATTTTCATGGTCTCACAATTGGCGCTGTCTATGGAAACGACTGAATGAGATCAACGAAAAACACAACAAACAAAATACTGTAAGTAAACATGTACTGGTTTGCTGGTGATAATTACTAATAAAATACTAAAAAATACAAATAATAAAAATTACAATAACTATTGAAAGGGCTGAGGGGCGGAAAATTCGCTCTCTTTAAGGAGATTCAAGCTCTTTGTAGTTAGGCAAAGCCTCACACCGGTGTAACAGAAAAAACCTTGACTTGTCCCTCCCAGGATACAATAGCCCGACTAAGTTGTATGGTTCACCAATACTACACAATTGGTTGAATCCAAAACTTCATCACATACACTCTTTATTTATTTGCTTGATAATCTCTCAAATACGAAACTAGCGAACACTTTTTTTTTTTTTTTAAAACTCCAAATTTCTCTTTCTTCTCTTGAGGTATTTTTTTTTTTTTTTTTTGGGTGAGCTACAAATAAGAGAGCTGAAAGGCTCAATTTATAAGCAAGGATACTTGGAGAGAAAGAAAAAGACTTGACTTAGAGGCAAAGACTTGGAGAGAAAGAAAAGATTTAACTTAACTTAGAGGCAAAGACTTGGAGAGAGAAAATACTTGACTTAAAGGCAAAGACTTGGAGAGAAAGAAAAGAAGACTTGAAGGGAAAGAAAGGTAGCTTAGAGAACAAGCACACAATATAATTTATAATATATTATAATATTAAAATATCTGCTAACATTCCCCCACCTATTTTAATAATATAGGTAACAAAATCTAGAATTATTAGGCAAAGAAGAATATAATGCATCATGGTAAGTGTGCTCTGCATTGAACCTCCATTAGTGAAATAGTAATATCTACTCCAGAGTCAATAGTATGCTCAGCATTGAACTATGACTGCTTAAGGGAAATAAATAATTATCGCACACACATAATATTCCAGGTGTTCACATAAGCTTTAATAGCCACTACGGCCTTGTGCGATCCCAGGATTCATGAGTGTGTTTGAGAATTAGCCCAAATCTCAGAGGTAGCGACTCCATTAACATACTCACATAGGTGAATTCTATCAAGGGTGCTCCTTTAACTATGACACCCCACTCAATAAGAGCTACAAAAATTCATTAAGAGTTTTTTGTTTTTTTTAATTACTCAACCTCTACAACGTTACAAGATAAATGTACTTACATCATAGGGATGGGTAAAAATTAATTTAGTGTATTTCTTACGGCCATCATATGATCGTTATTCTTATTGAACCCAGTTACAGGATCTCTGGTCCCTAGGTTGTGTATCCTCATACATGGCTCCTGCTACATTCAATGGGCTTCAACCCTATCCTCCTCGATGTATTACAGACTTTATCTCTTGCTAAAGCCTTAGTTAATGGACCTACAAGATTATCACCAGATTTAATATAATCCACATTTGTGATGTCATTAGTTATATAAGATCTCACAGTACTGTATTTTCTTCTGATAGATCTGGATTTACCGTTATAATAACGGTTATTAACTCGACCAATTACTACGATGCTATCACAATGAATCAATATAGGTGGAATTAGTTTTTCCCAACAAGAGATTTCATTTAACAAATCTCTTAACCAATTTGCTTCTTCACTAGTTGTAGCTAAAGTAATAAGCTTAGCCTCCATTGTTGAATTAGCAATAATGGTTTATTTTTTCGATTTCCAACTTATAGCACCACCTCCCAAGGTAAATAAGTAACCAATGGTCGATAATAAATCACCTGACAAGATATTCTAATTGGTATCACTATAACCTTTAAATACTGTAGGATACTTACTATAAAACAAGCCATATTTTATGGTACCAGATAAATATTTCATAATCCACTCAATGGCTAGCCAGTGATCACTGCCAGGCTTGCTAGTAAACCTGCTAAGTACTCCAACTGCATAGGCAATGTCAGGTCTAGTACAGTCAGTCGCATAACGCAAGCTACCAATCATACTAGCATATTCCTTTTGATTAATTACATCCTTATCACTTTCAACGGGAAATAAATATACATGAGGATCAAAAGAAGTAAGAACATGCTTGCACTTATAAAAATTATATTTTTTCAAAATTTTCTTAACATAATGCGACTGATCAAGAAATATACCATCACAGGTTTTGATAATTTTCATTCCCAAAATATAATTAGTCTCGCTAAGATCTTTCATATCAAAATGGCTACTAAGCATATTTTTAATTTCCACGATGATATGCAAATTAGAGCCAAATATAAGTAAATCATCCACATAGAGGCTAATAATGACATGAGAATTTTCTTCAGATTTATAGTAGATGCATTTATCACATTTATTAGTTTTATAACCATTCTCAATCATGCACGAATCAAATTTCTCATGCCACTGTTTAGGGGCCTGTTTTAAGCCATATAGGGATTTAACTAGCTTGCACACTTTGCTTTCTTGACCGGGTTCCACAGAACCCTCAAGTTGATTCATATAGATTTCTTCATCCAGGTCTCCATTTAAAAAGGCTATTTTAACATCCATTTGATGAATTTTTAGATTATGAATTGCAACCAATGCAATTAATAATCTAATGGATGTAACTCTAGTAACCGAAGAAAATATATCAAAAAATTCAAGATTTGCTTGTTGTTTAAAACCTTTTGCAACAAGTCTTGCTTTATATTTATCAATAGTTTCATCCGGTTTAAGTTTTTTTTTTCTCAAAACCCTTTTACAGCCAATAGTTTTACATCCTGGTGGTAAATCTACTAATACCCAAGTTTTATTGGATAATAATGATTCCACCTCATTATTTACAGCCTCGTTCCAAAGAACAGAGTCAGCAGATGCCAAAGCTTCTTGTAAAGTTAATGGAGTTTCCTCCACATTAAAAACATGATAATCAGGGCCAAAATCTTTTTCGAATCTGGCTCTTTTACTCCTTCTAAGTTCAAAAACTACAGTGTTTTGGTTTTGTAAAAGAGGAGTAGAGGAACCGGTATTAGATAAAATATTTTCTTGATAATTTTGACCCCCACCATTTTTAAATTTAAAAGGAAATTTTTCTTCATGAAAAATTGCATCATCTGATTAAAAAATTATTTTGTTTTCAATATCAAAAAATCTATAGGCTGTACTATTTGTTGCGTATCCAAGAAAAGCACAAGTGGCAGCTTTCACACCTAATTTAAGTCTTTTAGGGTCCACAAGTCTAACAAAGGTTAGACAACCCCAAACTCTCAAATATCTCAAATTTGGTTTATGCCCTTTCCACAACTCAAAAGGTGTAACTTTTGTTTTTTTTTTTTATGTGGCACTCTATTCATAACATAACATGCAATTAAAATTGCTTCTCCCCACAAATTTGAAAGAGTACCTACTTCAATTAGTATAACATTTGTTAAATCAATTAAAGTTATATTTTTCTTTTCTGCTAC